ACTAGCTTACGTATTTGGTCAGAACTGAGACCTGATTCTCTCTTTTATACATGTTTTAATATGAAAAAATGTATCATGTCATAGAAATATATAAATTATGTGAGAAAAGCAATTTAAATTCACTCTAGAGAACAAATGAAAGCTAATGTTGAAATATCCACGATTAGTCTAGCTAACGCTAAAACTTGAATTACCTTTTAATTTCTCCCTTACTGTTTTCCATAATTGAAAAATATGTATTTTAATTAACTGCCATCCTGGTAATTCTTCTTTTTTTTCCACACACTAATACACTACAATACACTAATCCATGTAGAAAACAAGATGGCAGCCGTCTTGTTCAGGGCTTAAGAGGATATGACATCTTGGTGTGATGCATGCCAAACTGCAGACCACTGTTTGAGACCAAAAAAACAGCAAATCCAGTAGTTTATTTGAGAGTCATCGCTGTGTTTCCAGCGGCGTTTTCGCACCAAACGTGAGTGTTTTGTAGTGACTAGTCTGTATTTTCCAGCAGAAGTGGTGCCACAAAAAAGAGGTTGTACTTTGCAGAGACATTGCTGCTTTACCTGCCCCCAAAACTGGGGTATTTTAAGCTAAAACATGAACTTTTCCCGTCTGTAACCAAGTGGTTTTTGTGCCTAAATTTAACTCAAAGTTAACCACAGCTTTTTTTTTAACATAAAGTTTCAACACATCTGCTACATGCTAACGTACAAATGCTATGTATGACATCTTGGCGTGATGCATGCCAAACTGCAGACGACTGTTTGAGACCAAGAACCATTTAAACCAGTAGTTTATTAGAGCGTCATCACTGTGTTTCCAGTGGCTTTTACGCACCAAACGTGGGTGTTTTGTAGCAACCAGTCTGTGTTTTCCAGCAGGAGTGGTGCCATGAAAGGCGGCTGTTTATTGCAGAGACATTGCTGCTTTACCTGTCGGGATTGTAGCCCCCAAAACTGAGGTATTTCAAGCTAAAACATGAACTTTCCCAGCTGTAACCAAGTGGTTTTTGTGCCTAAAGTTAACCCAAAGTTAACCACAGCGTTTTTTTAAACATAAAGTTTCAACATATCCGCTACATGCTAACGTACAGATGCTATGTATGACATCTTGGCGTGACGCCTGCCAAACTGTGGACCAATGTTCTAGACCAAAAATCTACAAAACCAGTTGTTTGTTTGCGAGTCATCGTTGTGTTTCCAGCACAAAATGTGGGTGTTCTGTAGCGACCAGTCTCTGTTTTTCCAGCAGGAGTGGCGCCACAAAAAGTGACTGACCAGTATTTTAAGCTAAAACATGATCTTTTCTGAACCATAACTAAGTGGTTTATGAACTGTTGTTGAAATGTACATATTAGGGGTAGGGGAAAAATTGATACTGCATAGTATTGCAATATTTTTGTGTAATCACACAGTGCCAAGTATGTATTTTTTCATTATATAAATTATTAATATGACAAATACAAATTAAACTTTAGGTAGGCTACTAGAATATTACATTTACAGTTTATTATATATTAAATTTATAAATTTATAGTTGAAAAAAGGTAATAAATCGCAAAATTGCAATAATAGCCCTAGAACGTACAAATGTAACGTATTCATAATTTGCAGAAATGTACAATGCTAACATTTGTGCTGCTCTTTGCCTTTGAAAACATCAAATAAATGGTAAAGAGCAAGATGATGACAGCTTTTGTCATCTAAAAGACAGTTCTGGCATAATGTTATACATGATGATATAATCCCTCATTTATGCTTGTACTTAATAATAATTTCAAGTTATTTCACAATAGATTAATTTTAAATAAACTGACCAATGAAAAACAACTGTTCCTGTGCACATTACAGATACTCAGGAAATGAGGAAACAGTCAAAAGAACCAACCACGACTGTCTGAAGCCATAAAACCGTCTGCATACAGAAATATATGATAATATTCTCTCTGGTAAAAACTCACTTCACAGATGGAAAATAAGAGCAATAAAATTATGACTTTCGACAGGCAACATTAAAAAAACAAAAGTGCAACATCTGTCCTGGGATGGTTCCCAGACTGAGTGTTTAGAGCTGCAAATATCACAGCTTTAATCAGCTGGATAAAATCAATGCAACGTGGCAAATTAGACATTTATTTATTTATAGTTAAATTATATAAGGAGTGTCATTAAGCCCCAGAGCGTCTAGTAAAAACACAATATGAAATTCAGATGCTGAAGAGGCTAAAAAACACACGACAGCGTCCAGTGTTGGTTCACTGACTTCATGTGACAGATAAAATGGCTGCCGTGAGGCTTTTATTTGCACATGTGTGCAGCGGTGGGTGGAGTAAACAAAACCGGTGCTCTAGTAAAAGTATTGTTAATTCACAATTATATGGACTCAAGTAGAAATAAAAATACTCATAAAAATAACAACATGTGTCAGAATGTGGAATTCTTTAAAGTTGAGATGTCCACTGGTTTAATAAAGTAGGCAGCACGTAATCTGACTGTTGTTCCTCTGAAAGGCAAACAGGAAGTGTGGCCGGGGACATGCATGCGCCTCCTCTGAAGGAGAGGGAGGCGTCTCATCGCCTCAGGGCCCCATAAGGGGGTAAAAAGGGGAAAGCTTCTCGGACCCAGCTGTTCAAGGGGGCAACAATCACACTCATCCTAAACATAAATAACCACATTTTATTTTGAATAAAAATATTCATATTATTTATAAAACTACTGGCAACCTCCGGAGCTGAAAAATGAAGCCAACTCTGAAGTGCCAAAACCTGCAGTTCCTCTAATGTCCACTAGAGGCCGGCTCCAAGAGTGAGTCGGCCTCGAAAGAGCTCCATGTGAAAACTTTACAGAACAAAAACAGTTTTGGTCTCTGTAGCTAATTTAAACATTCATGACGACTGTACAGGGGCTGCATTTTTATTAAGGATTAAAGATATGCAAAAAAACAAAATTCCCATTCACATTTTAAGTCTATGGGAAAAAATCTTTTTTGGGGCCAATGGCATCACAGACCAGGAAGTTGTAATTAAACAGTTTGAGCTCTATGTGAAATTGGTTCCAAAGCCCGGTGCTGTCTCTGTGGGCTTTGGGTTTATTTATTAGGACTTGTTTTAGGGGCCCAGATATTTGTGAGCAGGCCTGGATCTGCTGCCATGATCTTAAACTGTAGTTTATTTAAGGGAGGGTCGTGGAAGGGGCGGAGCTAAATACAGCTTTATGCATCAGTAAAAGTAGTGAGACGTTCAAATATTTCTTGTTACATAAAACACGAATTTTGGTGACGTTTAAGCAAGACGCATTTGGCAAATTATTATTAGTTTTGAAGTTTTTAAACATTTAATTTAAGTTTGAGCTATTCAGGGACGAGGAGGGGAAACGCGTTCGAAAAACAACAAAAATGAAGGCGGCAAAAGTTTAAGTAGGTGGACGAATCCAACAACCACCGACTTTCACCCAGGAGGTTGGTGTTCACTTCCTGTAAGATTGTAAAGCCAAACCTTGTTCTTTTTTCCTAAACCCAACCACGTGTGTTTGTTGAAGGAAGAAAGCAACAATTTGCGGTGTTTTATTTTGAAAGAGACTGTATGCAAACTGTACATTTCCTGTGAAAACAGAAGTGTATTTTGAAAACAGACGGAAGTCCATGACCAAATGTGGACATGTGACAAGGTCGCAGTGAGGATGGGTTGCACGTTACTGTGTCTCGCATGTTAAGGGGCTAAAATTAGTGAGTTCATTTGAGTGTCTCGTGCCCATCAATGCCGATTGGAGTGAAAAGCGGTAAATACCCGTAACTACAGCAGAGTCATTTGACCTCGATTAAAACCCTTCCTGCTGCATTAAAAAACCAGATGTTAGCAGGTGTTGGTGGGTGTTTGGTGCAGTGGGAAAGGGGCAACAGAAACAGACAACCATTCACACTCACACCCACAGGAGGACATGACCAGTGGGTTCGAACCCTGAACCCTCCTGCTGTGAGGCGACAGTGCGATTCCTCTGCAGCGCCGTGACGCCCACAGTGCAGCTTTGTCACCTCGGGCCTGGAAAATCTGGTAATTTTTCCAAATTGTTAAGTCTTCCATGAGCGTGGGAACCCGACATGTTGCAGCATGTTTATGAGTTCTGAAAGATTGATGTGAGACATTAATGGAGATTCATGAAGTCAAAGCCTTCTAAGACTTTTTAAGGATCGGCTGGAACCGCGATCGCAACTGTGCTCAAGTCAGAGTAATAAGTGTTCTGCAAAAAGTACTGAGAGGGAGAGATGACCAGCGGCAACTCATCGCTTTACCCTCAGCTGCAGACATGTGAAGGAGGATTCACAGTTACACACACACACACACACACACACACACACACGCTGCCCGTGCTTCAGAATCAGTGACTGACCTTTTTGTTTCACCTTGCTTTGTCGTTCAGTTTCGTGTCCTGACAACAATTGATGACTAAACATCACATGACCTTTATCAGATTTCGTGCCAGTGTGTAATTACAGCCAGAGGAGCGTACGGTGACACCGGCCAACAAGAATGTACCGCTGCCTGTTCGGGTTTCTGTATCCGAGTTATTTCACTGTGAACCACCGAACACGTGGAATTCCACAGAACCAATAAGTGATGGAGTCACACTCTCAGGCTATTTTCCATTAAACATAACGACATATATGTTGTATTAATATGAACCTTTGCTGTGATCTTACCCTCCAGCGATAGCTCGGGGCGACACCCTTACAGTGCGTCATGTATCGTTTGGAAATTGAGGTGAGCTGATGCAGGTACGCCCTCAATTAGAGAAATTAGCCAACATTTTGTTCATATTAGAAATGTTTCCGACTCCTGTCATCAAAGATAATTATGGTTTCACCCTCAGCGATAAAATGTCTGTAAGAAATTACTCGTGAGAATTAAACCGAGGAACATAGAGAAGTGTTTTTTAATTCCAGGCATCAGTTTGAAATAAAAAAATCTAATATAAGTTGTGTGTTGTCGGCCACCGTACCTGGGTCTGCGTCAGGCCCAGTTTGGCTGCCAGGTCGGCCCTCTCGGGCAGGGCGAGGTACTGGGTCTGCTGGAAGCGCTGGTTGAGGGCCTGGAGCTGCAGGCTGGAGTAAATGGTCCGAGGCTTCCTGATCTTCTTCCCCTTCCCGTTCAGCCTCACCTCCCCATTCTCGATCACCGCCGTCGGCTTCTCGTGTTCTGGACAAACATAAATATCAACAGGAGGATTTCAGTGGGGACAGACGTCTGGTCTGAACGTTACAGACAGAAGATCAGTTAGAGTGCTTCAACTTCTGCTCATGAACTGTTGAGGAAGACACAAACTCAAACCTCCACTGTCCTGCTTTGTAATTTACATTCTCACTTGTGGTCATGTTGCTGATTAATAACACACAAGTCTGAAAACTGGAACAGAAAATGGGGAGAAACTCTTAGTTGCAGCTCCCGTTACTGACAAGTAACGAGTGAGCGCAGCCTGGCCGACCGGAGGAGGAAAAGTGGGGGACAGATAATATATTAACCCTTTAAAACCTGGATTGACGTCACTTTTACTGTGCTGTGTACAGGCGTCTTTCACACGCATTTAAACTTTTGAACCTTTGAAGCAAATTGGTTTGATCTCCTCTGAAAACATAAAGAAAAAGGTAATACGCAACGTGGTAAGAAATGTCCTGCAAACTGCAAGAAAACAGAAGATTTAGAATCAAAGATAAGTTTAGGAAAAATGTCCAGAAGACTTAATTTTCAGGTACTTTCCTGTACTTTTTACTTTTTCTTTTCTGTATTGCCAATTTTCGGGTAATTTTCTTGTACTTTTTTTTGCTAATATTGAAATATAAATTATTAATATTACAAATACAAATTACAATCTGCTGCAATTAAAATGAAAACTTATCTTATTAGATAAAACAGATGTTAGAAAAGTTTTCTCTTGGGGACATAACTCAGTTGGAAAAAGACAATTCTTAAACTTAGCATATCGTAACATGTTTTAAATCACAAATATATTGTATCTTGACTTGTGTATCGTGATAATATCATATCGTGGAGCCTCTGGAGATTCAAACCTCTATTTTTATACAATATACACGCGGCTTCTGTTCAGCGTATTCTCATAGAATGGTTTGTATGATATCCCACGAATGACGTTACGTCCTCAATGTATAGTTATGTAATTAACGTAAGTTACTGAGGTTTGGTTTAGGAAAAGAAACATGGTGAGGGCGAACTTTAAAGTGACTCAAAGCTCAGACAGTACCGTGATTTTAATGCATTTTCTTGTTCTGTAAAGCACTTTGAATTACTTTGTGTACGAATTGTGCTCTACAAATAAACTTGCCTTGCCTTACCGAACACGCAGCTCCAGGGTTAAGTCCATGTTTTGTGTCCCGCCCACCACCCCAACCTGCCTCCTTACAGACGGCCTCTTTGTTTGCTCCCGTCAGCACATTGGTCACGTGATCGCAGCCTTTTAAAATATGTGTAATATGTACAAATTTAGACGCGTCACTTGTCGTAGAAAAACATACAGTTTGTAAGAACAGGCTGCTGTATTGGTGCGTGGACAGGAACATGTTCAGCGTTATTTTACAGGAAGTTTTTGTTTAAAAAATAAAATGTCTTTTGGCTGTGAGGACAGAACACACACGGGCTCAACAGTGAAGCAGTTTAAGTGTGCATCCAAAATTTAAACACAGCATAATTCAGGGCTCCCACACATTTTCACAACTTCTCCGTGACGGCCGGTTTAAGTCCTGGAAAATGAGAAGCGTACAAGTTTTCCATTTGGATCAAACATCAAATAAGTTTAGAGTTAATTTGCCGTACTTGACATCACATGTCCTTCAATGTGACTATTGCACATCGCAACGTTGACTCTGGAACCAATACATCATGCTAAGCCAGGGGTGTCCAAACTTTTTTTAATGGGGGCCAGATAAAATAACTTGAAAACACCTGGGGGCAAATGATTCTCACATCAAAAGGTTGTTTTTTTGTTTTGTTTTTAAAGTGAGACAAAGGCAACCATTTTTATCTTTTAATGAGCTGTACCTACGTGATGCCTGTCTACAATGTAGTGTATGATAGTCCTATCACTGTGAGGTGAAGGGTAAAAATTTACCATTATTGTGTAAAGGGCCACTTATGGTATATTTTGAAAATCAAGCTGAGGTCTGATTAAAATTGGTCTGCGGGCCACAGTTGGCCCCCTGGCCAGACTTTGGACATGCCTGCCCTAAGCCGACACATATCAGAGCTACGTTATGTCAACGGCTAAACTACAAAAAACAAATTCGCTGATATGTTACATTACATTGAGGGTTATACCCGGAAGATTACTGTAACAATTAATTTCATCACAAACAACAAAATTCCCAAAACTTTCAATCATTTTTACTAATTCCAGGACTCTTCCAGGCCTGGAAAATGAGACTTTTCCAAGTTCTCCATGACCGTGGGATTGTTTTTAATAAGTGAAAATATCAAGCTTTTTGATTTGTAACAAAATGTGACATAAAATAATTCAGTGAGGACAAATGTTGTTGGATTCACTGAGACTTCACTGAGCACAGACGTCTCTGAGCTCCAGGAACAAAACACTGTAAACACAGTCTGATTCAGTTTTATGAAACTCTGGTGTGTGACGACTTGAACAGAACAGATGCAGGTAGAAAGACAAATCCTCTCTGCAGCTCAGCCGAGAGGGCTTTTCCTCATTTTTCCAGAAAGCTCTGCGGCCGTGTGTTCGCCCACGCTGATCTTTGTTATGACATGAGCTGTTAGCCTGCAGTGGCAGGAGAGAACAGCTGTGGACGAGCCGAGGCCCCACAAGACGCCGCGGCTCTGTAACTGAGCTCGTGAGGCAGCAGAGACGGCAGCAGAGACGGCAGCAGAGACGGCAGCGCTGCGCTGACGAGTGCCGAGAGGGAAACAAAGAGCTCTGCGACGTAGTCACTGTGGAGAAGTAAACTTGAAACCAGCACAGCGACGTGTGAAGCTGTGACTTCTGTTGACACTGGTGTTGCTTTATTCTTTGCTACGTAACATTTGTGGTTATTTTGCTGCTGGATTAGTTTATTCAGTTGATTTGCAGACCTGTAGCTGCTTCTGTGTTGAAGGTTTTGGGCTGTTTGGGCACACCAGGTGAATTGTGGGTAGGCAGGTAGAGGAGGGGGCAGGCAGCAGTGAAGGGAAAGAGAGGCTGCAGACGCCATCGTTCTTTGTTCACCTGCTCACTGACTTGGTAAAATAAACCGTGTGAGACGTCACACTCGCCCCAACAAAGGTCTTAATTTCCTGCCGTACGATCGGCTCCTCAGCAGCTGTTTGAGTTTCACTTTTTCGGAGCCTGTTAGTCTGATTTTTAAACTCAGTGCTCACACAGTCTAAAGACGTCTGAACGTCAGCTGAACTTGGGAAACGTGGCGTCAAACACACGAATAGAACGAGCTCCGAAACATGTTCAATCACACTCGTAACTGTGAAATGTGTCGTTTCAGCACTCTTGATACAGCGATTCACATCTAATATAACAATAATAATGTTTTGTTCTGAGGACAGTGAGCTTCACTTTACTGTCATGGTGCCGCAAACTGCAGCTGTGAGCGTCTGAATAATTCCTCTTTAAATATATGTGTGTTATTTCTTTTTGTCTGACGTTATTCAGACCCAGGACATCGTCACAAACTGGACCTCGACTTCTGATAAAACAGAAACACATGAAGCCTGTTGGAGGAAATCTTGGTGTCATGTTTTATAGTAATTTATATTTTGAGCGACACATCAGTAAATCTGTCCGGTTGTGTTTTAATCACCTCAGAAATAAGATTTATTTAAACTTTCACAGCTGCAGAAACTGTCAGACAAGCTTTTACCTCTTCCTGCCTCGATGACTGCGACGGCCTCTTTTCTCATCTTCATCATAAACCTTTAGAACGACTTCAGATTGAACCGAACAGGAAGTCTGATCACATCACAGCAGTCTGACTCCAGATTACACTTCAGACCTTTTAATCCCTCATAAACCTCTGGGTAGTCTGAGCTCCTCGGGCGGACGTCTTTGAAGACTAAAGGGGACGGAGCTTTGGAAATGAGGGCCCTGAGGCTCTGGAGTGACCTTCCCGAGGAAACATGGCTGTCGTTTAAATCTCTCGTAAAAATGTACTTCTGTCCGAAAGTAAATCCTGATTTCATCATTGATTTTAATTCTTGTTTATTATCTTGATTTTAGTTTTGGCCGTCTTTATTTTATCTTCAACTCAGGTGACAGTTAAGTTTGTTCCATTCTCCTTTAAACTTAAAACTTTAAACAACAATATATGATTATTATTATTATTGTGGAAATGTTTCATGTCTTATTCTAAACTTACAAAGACAAACAGATGAAACTCAGTGATGTCTCCAGTTTGGGGTCAGAGATGTTTGACTCCCAGTTTGACCTCATATAAACAAACTGTTATTAAATTCCAATATGAGAAATTAAAGTTATTTGGGAAGTGGGAGCGGTGACGCCGTGCGCTCTGTCAACACCAATAACTGCATCTGCACGAACATGTGTTTCAGCAGGAGTTATAGCTGACGAAATACTGCAGCATTTTCAATTTAAAATTGTGTTTGTAAATAATTTTTAAAAGACGAGGAACTTCAGTGCTGATGAAGCAACGTGAGGTTTTTGAGTCTTTTATTTATAATAATAACTTTATTTATAAATGATGCAGAGACGAGCTGAGAGCACCGGCACAAATTTTAAATAAAGTTTGATTTAAACAGTATCCAATGGAATTTGCACAAAGTTGAGTTTGGATAAAATCAGTTCACATGTAAACAGACTGAATTACAGTTTAATTTCTTGCATTTTTTGCCCTGTTTTTATTTATAAATAGTGAAACTATATTTATTACAATCTTGAGTTTTTCTACAATAATATTTAAGTGATTATTATTAAAGATTTGAACATTTTTATCGCTGTCTTCATCATTTTTCTTGGACCTCCTGACGACTTTCTTCTATTTTTAATTAACAAAATGAGATTACAGTTTAATTTCTTACATTTTTTTCTCTGTTTTTATTTATAAATAGTGAAACTATATTTATTACAATCTTGAATTTATGTTGTTTTATTTGCTTTCATTTTGTTGACTGTAAAACTAGTTTTAAACTTAATTCTGAGTGCCGTTAAAAAGTCTTAACTCCGACATGCAGCAGACTTTCCTCAATGATGTCTCTAAGAATGTATTTTAAGAGACATTAAATTATGATGTAACGATTTATGTTTTGTTTTATCATCACACACACATCTACATATTTTTTGTATTTTAATTGTATCACTATTTTTTTTGTTCTTGTGTGTCTTGTAGGATTTGTCCTGTCTTAGTTTTGAATTGTTCTTATTTTACTTACTCAATTCTTTATTTGTGTCACTGTTGGATCAACCAAATATTTCTGTTTTCCATCTTATTAATTTAAAAAAATGTCAATAAACAGATTGTGGATAACACCAACAAAAAAAATCCTACTTACCCTTTTAGAAAATTAGATACTGTGCATGTGAAGAAAGTTTTGACGGAGGAAACTAAATGATTTGGCCTGCAGTCACACTTTATTTAATTGAATGTGTTAACAAGGACCTTAATTATTATTATTATTATCATCAGTGGTTACAGTGGTTCATGTTCAGACTCTACGTGTGTTAATAATAATGTCACATACATGATGATTGAAGTGTCCACTTCAGGCTGCAGGAAAGAGCAGATTGTTTTCTCCACTTTATTTATTTATTTATTTATTGTCTTTTTTATGTTCTTTTATTGCTCCTGTAAATCACTTTAAATTGTGTCTGTATAAATAAACCTGTCGAAGGATCTTTTTCATCGAGCTGAAACAACTTCATCTACGGTTCTTTATTCAGATTTAAGGCACAGATCATGTTTTTATTTATGATTAGATATTTGTCAGTGTTTCATCTGAGGTTTGAACTTGTCTTAATGTTTTAAATGTAGCTTTCTTTAATGGTTTTATTTGGTTTGTGCAGCCTGAGAGGAACCAAACATTATTTCATTGAACATTTACAATAAAGTGTTTTATGTCTTTTTGAAATGTGTGGTTTATATACATTTAATATTTTTCTGTGTTTGAACTGAAGCATGTTTTAAGACACCAGATGTTCAGCTGCTGTCAACATGTAATGTTTTTTTTAAAGGTTGAATTTCAAGGTTTTATTATTTCTTAAAGTATTGTTATGCATTTTTAATCAGAACTGATCTGTTACGTCTCAAATTTCTTGTGATAATTTATTTTGAAATAAAGTTAAAAATCTGTAAAAGAGGAAACAATTTTTCTGGCTCAATTTCTTTTAATCTAATTCTACAATTATTTCCTGTAATACTATCAGGCTGAACGTGGAGTCCAGTTTATTATTATTATTATTATTATTATTATTATTATTATTTTTATGATGATGATGATGATGATGATGATAGATGCAGGCCTGTGGGCTCAGGCAGCAGACACAGGCCGGATGTTACTCGGCAGATGACGGCTGAGGCTTTGGGTTTGGAGAGGGCGCAGCTCCCGGGCCGCTGCGGGACACCACAGGCCCGGTGTCGGCTGCTTCTTGTGGAGAGTCCCACAGTCTGAGCGGGCCTTAAACTCATCTCCAGTCCAACCCCAAAGTACACTGAACATAACGCTGCGGCGGACCTGTGTATGGATCCAATTATTGCGCTGCGCTGCGGTTCATTTTCATGTTTCTTTGGAATATAGACTTCAAGTGTTTGAACCAAACATCTGTGAGAGATGAGGGTTCAACTCCAGCTGCATTATTCTGTGCGTAATGTTGCGTTTAATGTCCCCTGTGCGCATCAGTTTAACTTTTGTCTTCAGTTAAGACGACACATTAAATTATTAATGGGAAATATAGATTTTTTTTAGCACCAATAAAAATGAAATAAGGGAATGGAACAATGTGATTGGCTGAGCTCTTTCTTTGTTTGAGATCTTTCAACATCAGCAGCACCTGAAAATGCGCCACGCGCGTCACGCTCCATAATATTTAGGAGCTGCAAATAAAAAGCACAACATGAATATTTCTGTGTGAACCGACCTGCATCCTCCAGTCTGGTGTGTCCGAGCGCGCCGCCGTGTCCCCCGTGCTGATAAGGCAGGTAGGCCCCGGGGTGGTGCGCGCTCACGGGGCTGTGATAGGGCGGGTATCCCAGCGGGCGTCCGTACGACGATGCACCGGAGGAGAAGGGCCCGTCGTGCTGCGAGGGGCCCACAGCGTGCAGCCCGTGGACCGGGTAGTGGTTGTGGGACAGGCCCGGGGAGGGCTGCTGGTGCCCGGGGTACCCGTGGCCGCCGAACTCCAGGAAGGCGGATTTGGAGGGATCGGGCGGGACTAAAGTGTCCGATATAGAGCTCATAGTCATCATTGGGGTGAGGGGCAGTGATGAGGAGGGAAATCAGAGGGGTCAGTATGACCTCCGGAGGGGGGCCATCATGAAGGAAGCCACCATCAATGTCACAAGAGTCTGCAGACTTTCAGAGGAGAGTTTCCAGGAACAGTCAGCAGCCTCTTAAAATGTCATCTACCTTTTGTTCTGACTCCCGCTGCAGGAAAACAAGACTTCACAGCGGCTCTATGTGGGTTTGCCCTCCGCTACATCCCAGCTCAGCGCTCCGCAGACCTCACGCTCAGTCACAAACACCATTTAGACGGACAGGACGCGCGGCGGCGCTCACAAAAACAAACCCCCGAAACTCTCCGAAAAAAGCCGAAAACCTGATTTAAAATCCTCCACACCGAGTACTCTCCTTCTCCTCTCCGTCCTGGACCCGCAGCCCGGTGCTCGGTTCCCTCCCGTGTAGTGAGGAGGCGTTGAGAGGAGCGCAGTGTGTTCCTCCTCTTCAGAGCGCACTGTGAGTCTGCACGCAGCACTCTCTGCCTCCACTTGGCACACACCGTGCGCTCATTGGCTGCCGCGCTCCGCCCGTGTCACACTAATCACAAAGAGCGCGAGCGGCGGAGCGGAGGCTGCTCTCGGTGTTTGGCCTTAATGCGCACGTGAAGTGAAAGAGCCGGTTTAACCATTAAAATATCATTAATGTGGAGTGTTTATGAGCCCAATAATTCAGGGCCGCAGTTTGTCCACAGTTAACTGGATGAATTAGATCAAAATAAAAAGAAAGAAATAAAACAGCAGGAGAATAAAATGAAGGCTGATAACTGCTGAAATATTTGTTTTGTTGTTGTGATAAAAAACAATAATTAGCAGTTATTTCATGTGATCTGTGAGGACATACATGATGTGGCCTTCGCGTCTTTACACAATAAAAACAGGTCTTTTTACGCACTTTGGGTTCAAATATCTGACTCGTTTATGCCTAAAATATAATTAAAGATATTTTCTGACGTCATGTGTGATAAACAGACAGCAGGCTGCAGTAATATGTATTTAAAAATAACTGTTCACCAACTTCTTCATTTTTAAAAACAGGACAGTGTCAGGCTGGCTCACGACACACAGCGCGTTTCCAAAATAAAATTCTTCCTGCTCGCCAAAAGCAAAATCAGGCGGATCAGACCAAATGATCTCCATAAGCTGCTGCTGAAAGGCCGCAGACCTTATTATCCGAATTATTTTTATTAAACACACATTTACACACGAGACCCAAAAACCACAAGACTCGACATCTGAAAAAAAAAAAAAAAAAGACGTCTTATTGTTTAGTTTTTCTATTTTTGGGGCTCAAAATGAGGCGATGAGACAAAACCTGACCGAGATGTGATTTTACGCACACACACACACACACACACACCCACACACACACACACACACACACACACACACACTGAGGCCACCGCCTGTGGTCCCACACAGGGACACTTACAACAAACATCAAACAACCTGTTTCTCTGCAGAAACTTGTGATTTGGGCAGCAGAGACTCGGACTGTAATTTCACTCAGCTTTCAAATTAAACCTCACACACACACACACACACTGAGGGGTAAAGTCACCTCAGTGTGACTATTAGATCCGAATAAATCAGTTGCACAAGAAAAAATAATTAATTCCAGTATTCCACACTATGAACCACAGTCCATCCCTGACACAAACTTGTAACATAAAGTCGACACAAATGTCCCAGGTGGTCAAAACGACATGAAAACTTTAAGTTCAGTTGACACAAAACTCCTCCCCTGTGAGCCTGACATATTTTTTTTAATGTTAAATCAACAATTTTTGAGTTAATTTGAATAAAAACTATGGAGACGTTTTTGCCTAATTAGTTTAACACCAATTAAAATCACTATCATTGTGCACTTAACATATTTTTTAAGTTCAATAACATTTAAAATAGTCTTAAAATGTGTGCTCAGTGTTTTTATGCTCCTAAGGCGACATAGAATCAAAAGCTCAAACAACAAAAAAAGTGGCACATCATTAGGGGAGACCAGGGTCGGTTGGCACACAGCTACTTCCTCGTCCTTTGAAGGTCACAGAAACAGAAATGTAACATAAGAAGTTTGCTCTCTGAAGCTGAACTCATCTGCTGTGTTAAAACATCTGAAAGTCACCAGTGGAAGTAAGAAAAAACTTTCTGTGAACGTGTTATAAAACTGTTAGAGATATTATATATATTGTGTTACTTTTAGTCAAAACACGAAGGAATCGGCTACGTTTTGATGTACGATTTAAACGGGGTTTCCACACAAATTCATGGACAAAACTTCAAAACATTTCCATGACTTCAAGGACCCATAATAAAATTTCCAAGACTAGAATTAAACGCACCACAAAAAGTTAAACTGACATAAACTTCCTGTCAGACAAGGGTCATGTGACATATTTATTTTGTGTGTAGCGTACCAGGCATCTCCGGAGCCACGTGTGACTCTTTATCCCCTTCATAGTGGCTCACTGTGGGTTTGTCAGAAAAATAAATAACTGTTTTAACATTTACATTTAACAATTTTTAACATTTTCATTTTCATACATCATTGTTCCAGGCCAGGGGTCGGCAACCTTTATATCAAAAGAGTCATTTTTGGCCAAAGAAAGGAAAAAAAAATATCTGTATGGGCCCTTAAAGCATATCTGAGCCTTATAACGAAGGGATCTAAATGAACATTAATTAATATCTTTAACTTTGAAATGTTAGCGGTGAACCCAAACAAATCTGTCTGTACACTATTCAATTCTGTGTTTTCCTTTTTTGGATTTGGAATCAATAGTTTGCCTCGTGAGGGAGACTCAAGTCAAGTCACCGCCATCAAGGTTTGGTAAAATGTAGAGGAAATGGCGCCAGATCGCAGACGTGTGACGCTCATTTTAGTTGACGAAATATTTCAATCGGTGTATAAGCTACACATTTTTATGATTAGAGAAATGACTTTAGGCTGAGAACAACGATGTATGAAAATCAAAATGTTAAAGAATAACTTCATTTCCTTTTGTTTGTTTTTTCCCCCGACAAACCCAAAATAAATGTGTCACATGACCCTTGTCTGAGGAATCTCATGTCTCTTTGGGTTAGCTCATGCATGTAGTGTACTTTGTTTATAGCCTCACGTTAGCTCTCTTTAGCTTTTGGCTGTTGTCACATTCTGTTTGTATGTTTCTCTACGAAAAATAGTGCACCAAACTTCGTAAACACACCACGCAGTCATAGAGCAGTTATTTGTGCATAACCCACGTATTTTGGAAGGCTGCAGTCACATGACCAACGTGCCAAAAGAAGCGGTACTGAGTGGTCCAGGTAGGAGGCAGGTTGGCTATGAGGATGGGCCACAAAACACAGGACTTTTCCTGGGACAGGTGTTTGACACCGTGTGAACTTTGAGTCATTTTAAGACACGTCCTCACCATGCTTCTTTTCCAAAACGTTGCTCACGGAACTTTCCGTAAGGACGTAACATCACGCGTGCGGTGCTGATTTGAAGGATATGATACGAACTGTTGTATGAGGATACGTTGTAGCTTTTTACTTTGCATTTATCATCAGTACATTTTGTTTACCACTGAGCTAATTTTCTGTAATAAATCAAAATCCTGTTGCGTTTCTGACAAAGGAACCAGGGTGATGCTAACTTCCATGTCGGCCTACAGAAAAACATCACATCAACATCACTGCAGCTCTGCACACCTCTTCACATGACTATGGAATTTTACATGCAAAGTCAGGAAGGAAGTGATCATACAATAAATATAAGAGGTATTACAACCATACTTGCTCTCCCCTACTTGTATGTTACTAAGGTTTTTATTGCAGGACGTTTACTTGGAAGGATTTTATTCTACCAGCTGGAGGTGGAAGGTAGATGTCTTCAGACTGGCCCAGAGGCCTGTGGATCCACATTTAGTCACAGATCTGGACTCTTTGAAGCCACTGCTGTCACTCTGACCTGTAACACACACACACACACACACACACACAAATAAAAAGATGAGATTTTGTTCTCTAAAATGAAGATTCTTCTCTCTTAGACTCACAAGTCAGTCTTTAGACGCTTTGCTTAACTAAAGACTGATGACTTTCTCCCTGATTTTGTGTTTAGATGGGCGGATACAATTTCAGAGTTTAAAAAAACTCCCTACGTTGCAGAACCAATAGTAAATCTGCAGGGCGGTCCTTCGGTGGCTCGCTGAACTCTTGTGCTTGTAAACATAGTCCCACTAGAAACACGTGTAGCGGTACAAAATGGCTCAGCCGTGCTCGCAGAAAAAACGCCGTCAAAGTTCAGTGGATGTTTGTGGCGTTTGCAGCGACACATTCTCGCCAACTAAAAGAAACAAACATAATCTTTTACAAGGCCATGACTCATCCGTCCGGCCGGACTATAGAGGGAATCGCCTTGTTGTTTACAAATACTTCCGGGTATATATATATATATATATATATATATATGTATCACATTTTTCACATCACTGTATCACCGTTTAGACTAATCCGATGTTTGTAAAGTCTGTAAACACAATGATTGAACAAACATTACTATTTTTTAGCCGTTAGCAGTGTCTGTAATAGGTAATAACTCATTAAACGGTCCGTGAATTTTTTTTTTTTTCCAGCGGATATCTTAGTTACAATATGACTGAGCTAGCAAAGCAGTTTTGTGTTGCTATGTGTGGTATTTATTCAGTTTTGGGAAATCACGATGTCTAGAAAGCATCAGTGGCTGCAGCTGACAGGGACAGCTAACACTAGCAGCAAAGCTAACATCAGGACGTCATCTGTTAAAAGCCTCCGTTGTCGGATACGACATGAAACTACTCCAGTTAGTCAATCATGTTGTAACTAAGACATCCGCTGGAAAAAAATATTTTTTTCACTGATGACCACACGTTTGATAAAACGGAGTTAAATCTCTCGGCATCCATTTTCAAGCTCTCTGTGTGTTTGTTTCCTTGCGGACGAGAAAAGGAGGAGCGCACATTTCCGAGAAGGCGTGTCCTTTTCAAAAATGCAAGAGGCGTTGCTTTGTTGCCGGCCGTTTTCGCCGGTGTGTTAAACACACTTTAGAAAGGAGTGTCCCCAGACTATCAGAAGTGGAGATCTCTGATTGTCTGGTGGCGAGACTACTTCTCTCTAAGCCAGTTGTGCCAATGAAGTTCACTGAATCAACCCAATCACAAAAAACCCAGTGTTGGCATGGTTTCTGCAAATCATTGCGTTTGCATGTTAATATGAAGCAGATACGATTGAACTTAACAACTTTATGCTTCAACAGCGCTGTGGTTAATGTGCGGTTTGGTTTATCCACAGAAACTATTTGGTTATGGTTTGGTGAAGATCTTGTTTTAGCTAAAAATTCCCCACTTTTGTGACACTATCCTGTTAGTAAATGCAGTGACGACTCACTAAAAAACAGCTGCTTTTCATGCCTAAAAAGACA